TTTCCTCAGCTGACTAAGGACTGTCAACCTGTAAAACATGAGGCAGTTAAAGTCATAAATGCATTGTGTATTTGGTTTAAACTCTAATGTTCCCAATAATCCCCCACATATGTTCCCTTAAGAACCACAAATGATGGAATAAACCTTTGTGCATCGTACGACAACTGGGACGGGGTTTTGAACCTCAGTAGTTTTACTTTTCCGCCAAAATGTATGTATGAGTGTCGCTGTCGCAGCAGACTGGCCTGTATACTGTGTTTTCACATTTGCTTGTGTTTCTGTGTTCAAACAGCAGAGGGCAACACGTTCACAGTGCATGATGTCAAGTTTCCCTCCCCTGTCATTATCACACTCTCACAAATGTCCATAAAACCCTGCGGTTCCTCCACACCAAGCACAACCAGCCTCGATAGGAACCCAGCAACATTTTCACATCAACCCTTAATTCAAAAAGTGTGTTCACAAACAAACAAGGTCTTTTTGTTGGAGTCAGACATGCATGGGTTATTTTATGTAGAGAAGTAAAATCGGATGCCAAGAGCAATCTAAGCTATGGTTCTTTCTCATTATAAGAGAGGAGAGGAGAGGATGACAAAATCCACAGAAATGTGTGAAGGGCAATAAAGACATAAAGAGAAGGAGGAGGAGAATAGACGCAGAGGCTGATAAAAAGGAAAACGGAAAAGACAGAACAGTCACTGACAGAACAGCAATGTGGCCAGCAATGTGCTGTGTCACTGTGCCGTTGTACTTTGTTTTATTACTTCCTTGTAGCAGTAAATGGACTTGAGCACAGTGCCTGGGCAACAGGCACTGTGTCGACTCGGGAGTTCATCTGAAAGAAACAAATGATATCCAGCGAAATAAAAGTACAACTTCATTGAAGTTTCAGAACACACATCAAAGTAAAATTCTGTCACTGTAAATCCGAGCATTACTCCAACCACAACATAGTTTTGTTGAGGGTGTTACAGTCAGTTTCCAGTGGTGGAATTTAACTAGGTATATTAACTCAAGCACTGTACTTAAGGCCACATTTAGTACTTGTACTTTCCTTCCGTGTTTCCATATCACATCTAGTCCTCTCCAATTCAGATGGAAATATTGCACTTTTTATTTCAGGTGTTTTATATAATAAGATTTTGGATACAAAACATATGATCAGCTCATGAAATATGATGCATTGTTATAGACTTAAGTGCCAACTATATTTTTAAAAACATAAAGTGCTACAGTACCTGTATTTGGTTGCCATGGTGGTACAAGCAGACGTGACAGCCTCTCATTGAACAAATATTTCAGGAAGCAGCGTTTTATCTAATGAAATTCCTCTGAGAAAGTAGTCACTCATACTAAAATAACCAAAGCTGTTCTAACTTTGCCAGAAAATATGAATTCATGAAGGACCTCACTGCTCTCAGTAAGAAGCTGATTGAGAAAATATGTTTTCAGGGCCTTTAATGCATCAGTGATAAAATATATAATGGTATAACACGTGCATTGGCATTTTCTTTCTCTCTACTTTAAAGGTTCTATAGGCAATATTTTAATCAATAATATAACAGAAAACAAGATGTACTGTAGTAATGGCGTCCTGAGCAGAGATCCAAGTCACACCCCCTCTATATGTCATAATCTGAGCTTCTCTATTCTTTGTTTTGGTGTTTGGGATGGCGGCGCGTGTGTATTAGTGCATACACATGTGCACGTGAGTCCCCCCGTTATACCGTTGGTACTCCCCACATTCATGAACTCTCTCTCTCTTTTTCTCTCTCTCACTGTTCGTATCAGAATTAAGGCGAAAAATAAAAGTGATGAACCCAGCTGGGACACACTTGTTCAATGCTTTTAACTTCAAAAGTCATAATCAGGCATTGAACAACAAGTGCATCCCATCCAGGTTCATCACTTTGTAGTGTCCCCTGGAAACAATTCCATTGCGTTATGAATATTTGCAGCACGTGTTGTCAAATTGATGAAGATGTTTTCTGAATTTGTTTGTGTTTTGCAGTGCGTTGAGTTCTCAGGGCCACCGTACTTCTTCCACCACAGTCAGTTTCTTCTTGCAATGCCTGATTTACATGAAGCAATCATGGAATTATTGCTGCTGTATGATGATGTGAGCACTTTTTCAAGGACTACAGTTCTGTTTATTTACCATTCAGGCTCATGAAGCACTGATAATAAAATATCTAAAATAAACATCTTCATGCTCAAGTTACGCTCCCGTACATGTACTAAAACCACACCTTTAATTGTTTGTGTGTAACAATGAATCATCACGTTCCATGATGTTCTCTGGAAAACAAAACCATCTTACTGTGAATGAGAGTGGTGTCTATTTTTCCATAATTTGAGGTAAGATTAGACATTTACACCTTCACTGCACCAGGAATAGGTTTAAATTTAGCTCTGGAGTATTTGCAGATCAAATAACCAAGACAAGGAAATAAGAATTCAAAATAAAAACATTGCTGGTAACCTTCCCAGACTCCAAAAAATAATAAAAATGATAATAAAGATGAAAATGTCAAAATATATAGGAAAAAATGCTCAGCAATTGCCTATGCTCAGCAATTATGCAGTTAAATATCAATCAGCTTCATTCATGATTTCATCCTCTCCAGCATGACTACCAAAATCTCACATCATTATGGATTTGTTGTTGTGACAGAAACAGTCTTCTGCTGAAGCAGCTGACTGTGCTGTCGTAATATGATGCGACCCGTCCTGGCACTGCAGTCATTTTTGTTTTCATGTTCTTGATGTCAGTGGGTGTGGTACATGAGAGGCGTGGGACATAACACAGAACATGCAGACTTCCTGACACTTTATAGCTGGCCCTGTCAAAAATATGTTGCAGTGCAAAAACACACCCATTCATAGCTGCCAGAGGGCTGGGGCGAATGTTGCACTTAGAGACTGTTCAGGTGAGATTTTGTGTAAAGTCTCAATAGAATAAAGCATTTGCAATTAATTAAGATCACTATTGATGACGGTAAGATATTCACCTATATGATCAGGATTCACAGCCCTACAAAATAAAAATGTAGTGAAGGATAAACTGAAGTTTCCACCTGACATGAACTCAAGTATTAACCAAAATTCTGTTTCTATTATTTTCACTTGTTAAACAGCTCAGGGTTTCTGTGGGTATGAAAAGAACATAGTCTGGTTATAATTAACTTGTCTTCCTTTATCACAGATGATAAAGAGATCAAGGGGTGCTGTAAAATGAGTCTACACTGGGAAAAGCATGGAGGAGCGGAGTTCACTGGTTCCAAGTAACTCTGTATTGGCTCAGAGCGAGCCCTGTGTTTGTTTTCTCACGATTAAGTCAAGCACGTTCACTGTGGCCATGTGCCAACGGTGAGGCCCGTCACCTCTCCTGTTGTTTGAGACGTCCATGGACAGGATGTCAAGGTACATCTGAGGTCCGGCAGTGTTTGATGTGGTCAGGACGAGCACAAACAAGTCAAAGATCAGGGTCCTTACCTGGAAGAGGGTACCAGGTGAAGGCAAAAGACTGCAGTTACTCTGAGCAAAGGGGTTTAGGGACAAAAGGATCTTACAAAGGAGCACAAAAGAAATAAACCCTTAAGCTTTTTTTTTTCTTCTGAATAATCTTATTAAATCCCTTATTTAGCTTAAGGCCCATAAAGGAAGGCTTAATGGTTTTCATTCCACTGGCAATAGTGAATGTAAAAGTTTATGATCGTGGAAATAGTAATTCAATAAAATGATCTTACCGTAAGTTCCACTTATTAGCCCCTTTCTGGAGCTTTCAATTACATTTTATGATCTTCATCAGCTGATTAAGTTTGAATTTTATTGAATTTTAAGACGTTTTTAGATCACAAATGAGCTTTTTTACACTGATGTTTCAACACAAAAACTGCTCAGGTAAGTGTCCAACTGACCAAACTCTATCTGCAGATGAAGACCATGATAGTATAAGCCCTGGAAGTGGACCTTGAGTTTTTCAAACAATTCACCAGTCTTTTCTCCAAACCTCAACAATGGTCCCAAACTTTAGGTAGAGCATTGAAGAGGTGCCAGTGGAGGTGGTTTTTCCATCCAGTCTGCCCGTCTTGGCTGCCTCTCTCTGGGGGAGTTCTGGACCGGACTGGGCAGGGGGAGACCCTGGGGAGATGCTGGAAGGATTACATCTCCCAGCTGCTCTTGTCACACCTGGAGATCCCCCTTGAAAGAGGAACTGCACATAATTGTTGGAGGGAAGATTAAGTCTTATGTGACCAAGAGAAGTTGGTTAAAAACTAATGAATGAATTGGGATTGATCTGCTCCTCCATTTTTTTAAGTCCCGCAACCATGGTACAAGGTATGGGCATTATGTCATTGTGCAGGTGTCTGTGACTCTAGCTATACTCTGTGACTCTTAGTCAGTGAGCCAGTGCTTGGCCATTCTCACTTTGGATTAGATTTTTTTTTCTGTGTAGTATGTGGCTGTACAGAGGTTAGTTTGTGATGTTTATTTAAGGTCAGAAAGTGTCCAAAATAAGCCCCTAATAGTTTGTGGGTGTGCAGGCAATAAGAGAGATACATGCCATTTTATTTATTTTTCTATTATCATTATTATTATTATTATCATCACTTCTAATAACATTATAAGCAGCTTTTGTACCTTGTACGAGCTGCTCTTTAGAGTTTGGTTCCTGTTTGTTCTTACTTTTTAGCTAATAGGCTACATTTTAGCTTCACTGTTTACAGACCGTTAGGGCGGATCCAGAGCTTGTTTTACTTTTACCCATGAATCATCAATTAAGATGAGAGAGATAGATACATTTCCAGAGTGCTAAAGGGAGCTTTGCTGTTGTCTTGTTGTAGCATGTTCCAGCTTTGTAGAGTCTCTGACCCCGCGCGACGTTCAGTTTCAGTTTGAGGAATGCTGCTCCTGACTTGCTGCCATGCAGGTCTCTGAACATGCGTACTACCCACACGGTGTTTAGAGCGCACTCGAGAGTTGCAGAGTCATGTTGGTGCAGAAATTCTTCCCCCTCCACCCCCACCACCTCCATAGCCCTTGAACGTCTGCCAGTGGCGACGCAGAGCGGCAGCGACGTTCACAGCTCCGCACATTTCTCCTTTTAACGTGGAGGACGACGCGTCTGCTGGTTTCCTGACAGGACTCAGAGCCTCAGTCAGCGACCGGGGGAAGACCTCCGGTGGTCGGACAACTCTCGCTGTAAAACTCGCACAAGTGATTTCTGTGGTATAGTGATATGGAGTTTCCCAGCCGCCGTGGAGCTGTTGCTCTGGGTGAGTGCATTTGCAGCTGTTGAAATGTAAAAGAGTTTCACGCGCTGAACGGACGCGCCCTTTTGTAAAATCACTGTAACATTCAAAACGTTTCTGGTTCTCGTGTGAATGTGGTTTTACAGCGGCACTCGTGACACTACTTATTACAACACCGCTACACCAACAATGTCCGTGAACACTGGACGAGTTTATACTTCTACTGTCGACCAGTCTGTCAGTTTATGTCACTTTGTTTCCTCAGTAGTGCGCACACTCCCAAAAGGGAATTGAAACTTTTGCTGAGCAGCTGTGTTATTTTGGCACCTGGAGGCTGCCGTCGCTCATTTGTTATGATTTTTAACCATCGTCTTGGAAACAATTCTAATAATCGGTTAGTCAAATTACAATGATTAATAGTTAAAATGATCTTTTCAAGCAAAAATTCCAAACATTCTCTCCAATGTGAGCATTTTCTGTTCTTCCCTTCTAGGTATCACTGTACATTAAATATTGTGACTTTTGACCGTTGGTTGTCAACAAAACAAGCAATTTAAAGATGTCACTTCTGGGATCTTAACAGGTGTTTTTCACTTTTTTCACCATTTGATAGACTTAATTTTTAATGCAACTAATGATTAATTCATCATCGAACTGATTATTTTCTTAATTAATCATTTATGTTTGGTCTGTAAAATGCCATTAATCATTGACAACAATGACAGTTTCCCAAAGCCAAAGTGGCATCTTTAAATTTCTTATTTGTTTAATAGTCAAAAACCCAGAGATATTTAGAGATAGGCTGGAACCAAGGCTGTAAAAAAAAAACTATTATTTTCACTAATGATTAATCCTCAGATTATCTTGCTGAATGGTTGAATAATCGTTTTATCTGACCAACAGTCCAAAAGCCAAAGAGATTCAGTTTCCTATGATTTTATGACAAGCAAAAGCAGCAAATTCTCACATTTGAGAAGCTGGAACCATCAAATGTTTGATGGCTTTTTGCTTTAAAAATAACTTAAATGATGAATTGGTTATCAACAAAGCATCAAGTTTCTCTCAGTCAACTAATTGAATAATATTTAAAAAAAAAATTAAACTCTAGGTACAATGAAATCAGTGAATAACATCTTTCAGGAAGATGACTAAGTAGTTCTTAAAATAAGTCACTGGTTATAGTTTTTTCTATGATAGTACATGAAATATTACAAGGTTTGAGATGCTTGAAATAGTTTAATTGTGTCTGACCAGTGACACAATTAGTTGATTTATTGAAAAATTAAGGTGCAGATTAATCAATAATGAAAGTAAACATTAGTTGCAGACTTTTTTTTTCTTCTTTTTTTTTTTACCACAAATAAGGAAGTATTTCTTTATTTAGTGATAAATCAGCATACTGTATATTCAGTGCTTCTGATACAGTTAAGTGTGTGGTGAGGAGGCAGCATTGGGCAATTGTTATTTAACACTGTGTGATGTGCATCACTTGGCTTGAGTTTCTAAACATTAAATGTCTTGGGAGGAGGCTTTTTAAATTCTTTTAATTCCCCAGATTTGATGTTTCTAAAATAAGAGGATCCTCCAGTTTGAGGTTGAGTTGTGTGCTGTTGTGACTCTTAAACAATGCTCTGCCTCTGTGATGCTCTGTTCTTCACGTTTGTCATCAGCGACCTTTGACCCCCCTAGTCAGCTGTCAGTGCAGCTGAATGATGACATGGCAGAAGAACTTGAGTCACTGCTGTTAGAAAACTTTTCAAAAGACACGTGGTCATTACAGGTCAGTGGTCTGAGACAACATATTTTTAAAGGTCAAGCGAGGGTATTCTCACTCCTGTCAGAAGTCCTGTAACATGTTACAGTATATGTGCAGGTCAAAGCTGACTGCACAGGCCGGAGTCAGTAGACTGCCGTGCTGCTGTATCTACCATCTGGCAACAGAAATAGTCTGTAAATGGTTAACTCTCCCTCTCTCTGACTCTCCACGTTCTTTATAAATTCTGCACTCAGCTCGGCTGAACAGTGTCTTGATGGCAGAATCAGTGACTTATAATGATTCATTCTTCATGTTTAAAAGCACAAATGCCTTCTGATGAACACCATAGATCTCCTCTTTAATAATATTAAACAGATGAATCACAGACTGATTCATTTTGTTAATGAAGTTCCAGTAATCTGCTCGCTCCCTCTTCTCACTTGCAAACAGCCATTTGAGAAGCAAACACTACTACCACCTACAGTGTTACTGGTCAGGACCTTGGTCAAACAGGGATTATGAAACCTCACTGAAATCAATAAAACTAGTCAGAACTTGTGTCACAGTGTTCGCACAGGGTTCCTGCAGGCTTGAGCAATGCTTTATACAGTAGCCAAGCTCTGCACTCTGTGTTTACACAGTAATTCACTGTTAACCCCCTTAAAGCCTGATCAGGAGAGTAGGACAGGCTGATATATCCAAGCACAATGGCCCTTTATGGAAAACTGAGAATCTCACTGTATTAATGTCTTTCACTTCCCTTATTTTATTCACTCCTTGAACTGATTTCTAATATGTGTCATGGCTGCCATCTTTCTCCTCTCCCACTTTGTTATTCTGTCTCTTGCTCACTGGATGTTGTCCTCAAAATCTCTCTCTTTTTTTTCTCTCTGGATCACTTTCTTCCCTTTCCGTCTCACACTTTTGGTCATATGACCAGCAAACAGGCTGAACAGATTTGATTGTGCAACCATGCAAAGCTGCATTCTACCAGACCAACCCAGCAATAACCTTTTTATGTGGTTTGCTCAGTAAAGTAGAAAAGAAACAGTATCTGATCAATTCTGGTGAGACGGAAAAACAAATAACAGCAAACTGCAGGTGCTGTAAGTATCCATGTGATTCTCAGAGGGTCACTGTGGTTGTGACTCTCGCAGGATCAGTGTTTGTGTCTTTTCATGCTAAAAATTGATCTGCTGCTGTTGATTCTAAGGCTCTTTACACAGACAGATGCACTGTCGCTAACCGGCAGCATAGCAGACGTCTTTTCTTGCTCTCCAGCTAGAGAGCTGATTTGTTCTGCTTCAAGCTGTGGCAGCGAGTGACACTCTGCGGAATGCAGAGATTTCACGTCGCTCTGGGTTTCCTCTGTCATGTAAAGAGATGCTCTAAAAGCATTTCAACACTTTGTATTTGAGCATTTTCAAGATAATTCTCAAGTATTGCAAATGTAAGCCCATTAAAGAAATATGCCGGATCGGTATCCGTGCTGCTGCTGACTTTATTAAGTGGATAAGGTATTGGCCGCAACATGTCCAATCCACATTAAACACAGTTTCATGTGTGAATGTCATCATAAAAATCTGTTTTTCCACTAACTCTTAAATTCTGTCAATCACGGTGAGATGCCCGCTCAGTTTTTAGAACCACAGCTACCCCTGTTCACTTGTGACCTTACATGAAAATGACCCCACACAATGAGCTCCATGCAATGATGTTTACAGATTTTACATTTACATCTGATTGCTACTTTGTATCAGCAGGTACCCCAGGTTTAAGCATCAGAAATGTTGCAGGATCCCTATGTTGGACTGATGCTAGCATCTGCATGTTTTAACTATTATAGTGCATCTGTCTGACCTTTTTGGATGCCATCTGATAGTTTGAGGCACAATGCATAAATATATAGTCCTCATCAAAGTAACAGCTGGAAGCTAACAGCTGGTCTTTTCTCTCTTTAGTAGAGCCTGACTGACACATGGGCCAGGGACAATATTATTGATAAATAACAAGGAGTTATCCACAAAAGAGCAAGATTGGTGAGCTATAGGTTGATTTTCTTTTTTCTTTTTTTCATCGTTTATAGAAGTTTGTGTGGTCCCGTTTTGTACCAACTTGTAATACTTTGTTTGTTTTTTTTGTCTGTCCTGAAACCGCTTCCTGTCAGAAGTTGAATCAAGCAATGAACTGGTTTCATCTGGATGACTCATTGTTGTGATTTGGGAGATGTCTGTGTCAGTTACCTGGAACACCCTTATCTGCAGACCTTCACAGAGGCATTTATGCTTTATGCTTTCTGCTTCCTGTCTTCAGGCCAAGTCTAACTCGTATCAGTCTTCTAATTTGACTCTCGGCGATAAAGAAAAGAAGCATATTTCCCTAAATGTTGAACTGTTCCTTTAAATATTGATATCGTGTCTAGTGTTTGTTTTTTTTTGTTTTTTTATAACTCTCAAAGGTATCGGTACCGGCCTCAAAGATCCAGAAGCAGTCAGAGTTGTTAGCTGTCATTTGCCTCCATGCTAACTGCCTCAAGTTCTCCACTTTAAGTGAGGGGCTTATTAATTGGCAAGAATCTAATGAGACTCTTAATTAGCACTTCATTAGAGACAGGTGCACCACTTACACCCATGTAATTATGTTACACTGACATACAGTGCTTACATCATGTCTTCAGGTGCCTGAGTGCAATGATAAAGATATTTCAATGAAACTGTCAAAAACCTCATCTCGTTTCATTTCGCTTATATTTTTTAATTTTAGGATTATTGACAATGACAATACTTGAGATTTAATAAGACGTGGATGTTTGGAAACTTTTGACTGGTAGTGTCTTATTCTGTGCTCTCTTATGTAAGAGGCAGATATTTGTTACCTCCACCAAGTAGGTTATGTTTTCACTCGTCTCTCTCTGTTTGTTTGTTTGTTTGTTTGTTTGTCTGTTTGTTTGTTTTTTTTGGTTGGTTGCTTGTTTGTCAGCAGGATTACACAAAAAGTACTGAACTGATTTGCACCAAACTTGGTGGAGGGAAGGGGCACGGGCCGGGGAGGAAACCATTAAATTTTCCTGCAAATTCGGCTAAAAGGGGCGTGTCCAGGATGTGTGTCACTCTTATTATGAGAGTGACTTGGCATTTACTAAGTTAAGACTGATGGTCCAACAGGTTCTAGTCGGTACAGAGATTAGTCTGCTTTGACAGTTGGAGTGATTTTTATCACATATCCAGAGAGTAGGAACATAGAAGTGAATGTGATTTTTATGGGAAACAGTGGTGTGCTTGGTCAGCAACAACTTCTGAACTCTGGTAAGAATTCATTCATACCTTCTGTTCCTTTTTAAATAGAGTGGATGTGTGCTCTTTATGTTTGTCATCCGGCTGCTATCTGTTGAATCTCAGTCACTCCTCTGTGACTCACACGCCGAGTGTGACTATCAACAGTCACTTTACAGTCAGACTTTAAGTGAAGAGAAAAGTGGAAAAAAGAGCTTTAACAGTCCAAATGATCAAGCGTTTGCAAGGATGAACCAGCTGTTTGAGGTCCCTGTGATCTTGCAAAAGTATTCTGGTGACATCTGCAACAATCAGTCGATTAATAGATTACTTGATCAGACATTCTCTGGTTCCAGCTTCTCAAATGTGAGGATTTGTTGTTTTTCTTTTTCATATATGACACTAAACTGAATATCAGGTTTTCAACTATTAGTAAGTTTCTTGTATATAAAGAAAAAAATGCCATGAATGCACAGTATTTCTAATTGACACACATTTTGAGGTTTAAAAAATACATTAAGAGGTTATCATTTTTGCCAGAAGACTGCACACTAAAATAAATAAAGTGCATTTAGCAGCTCATTAGTAATGAAACAACATAGGAATGACAAAGCCCTCACTATAAATGATCCTTTTAGAGATTATGAGAATCTTTTACATAACCAAATTAAAAATACATTTACTATTTCCTTAGGTGAATGCTGTGGCATAAAGCAGTTAACCAGAGTATGTATTTGCTGTTTTAGCTGTAAGGAAGTGAAACTCTGAGTGTGTGACTTAAACTCCCACACATACAAGAAGGGAACACGTGAGATTTGGATTCCATTAGTTTCATTTCAAACCACTAAAATTCTCTCATCTTTCTTAGCTTACTCTGTTTTTGTTTGTTTTTCTTCTACTTTGCAGGATAAGCATCGCAGCAGACGGGATCCCTGCCAGGATACTTCTGATTGTGCAGCTACACACGTTTGCCAACCACTTCTCCTTCTCCTTGCAGAGGACTCCCTGAAAAGTCAGAATGGATTACTTTCACAACCCTGAAACCTGTAAGATCTGGACCAACAGCAATTTAATTATCATGGGTTGACTCATGCTTTGGGAGCTGTCTGATCCTGACACAAATGCTGTCAGTCATGTTGGAGCCAGGACCTGTGGATGAGGGAGTATTATGTGGTTCACCATCGGTCTGCAAGTTTGTTTACCCATCGTATGTGCGCAGAGAAACGTATGACCTCTACTTATTTTTATGCAGCAACTGGCTTTTCCTGTGGACTGCTTACTCTGCCTGCTGGCTGTTGCTGAGATCACCAATGGATAGCACCATCACTCGGTTCACAACCCTACTTCCTTTGGAAAAGTCTACTCTCTGAATAGATTTTTGTGTTTATATTTGCATAAAAATGGAGAAACTAAAGACATGTGCTCACTGGAGTCTTCACATCGATGAAATAAAGACCAAAAGAATTTCCTCTGTTGAAAGTCTAACCCCAGTGGGATAAGAACTCAAAACTTTAAACTGTAGAAGACTTTGAGACTGAAAAAATAATAACTCTGGACTACTCCCCTTCCTCTCTCCCATAATGCATTGCCCAATGAGGAAGAAACGTCCCACACGTAATTCTGATTTCTCAGCTATTGTGGTTCCCTCGATGCACGGGTCTGGGTACCTTGACTACACGGTCGAGACCCACGCTTCCAGATCCATGAAGGTCATGGACGAGTTCAGACGGCAGGAGATGCTGTGTGACCTGGTGCTGCATGTCACGTACAAGGAAAAAACTGTGGACTTCAAGGTGAGACATCCTCTAAATTAAATGATCAAAAAGCCATTTTGGACTTTGCTTCACAGTTTCAAAATATTAGCTCATTATGGAGGCCTGAAACTGACTACATGTAATGAAAGGTTCTTAAACAAGTCTAAAATACAACTAAATGCATCAATAAATATTTTGGTGCTATATTGCCCACTGATAATATGACAACTCACTGCATTATTGATTACCTGTGTGTTGCCTTCTCCCATGTACCCTGTTATTTTAGAATAGGTACCTGGTAGTTAAAAATTACCTACAGTATAAATTCTTAATAATTTCCCATGTTGTTACCTCTTTATTCCCTAACTTCACATCATGTTCCCTTGTACCCACATGTGAAATGTGCATTGGAGATGTCAGACAAAAGTTAAATCCAGTTACATTTTTAAGTTGTAATTCACCTTCCAGTCGAATTGAGATCTTGGTCAGGCATTGTCAAATGCATCCTGGGGAAAATAGAGAATAGGTATATGATTTCATTTGTACCAGAAAAGGAAAGAGTTAGAACTAGTAAAAGTAAAAAAAAAAAAAAAAAATTGAATTCACTTTGTCTGCTGAAAGGTTGTAAAGGAAAAACTGAAAAGATTTTAGTTTTTTTCACCAACCGATTATAATTTCAAGCTTCATGTATCTTTTTAATCTCAATTTGATAATTTCACTATCAGTATCATTCATGATATATTCAGTTATAGTTTTGACTTGTCTGATAACTGGTCACTTCGTTTTGTCAGTTCTGGGCCTCCATACGAGAGGGCAGTTAGTCATTCCCTCACTGATAAAAATAGAGTGAATGCAATGTTTCTTTATCACCATGTTACTTTCAGGTGCACAGGGTGGTACTGGCCTCCTGCAGCCCCTACTTCAGAGCCATGTTCACCAGCAGCTTTAAAGAGTGTTGTGCCTCGGAGATCACCTTGCGGGATGTTTGCCCCCAGGTGGTGGGAAGGCTCATTGACTTTGCCTACACCTCCCACATCACAGTGGGAGAGAAATGTGTGTTGCACGTTCTCTTGGCTGCTATGAGGTAAACATACATAAACAGTAGCACATGGTGTTGGAAAGCTAATCCTGAGTCATTGAAAACAGCTGAAACCTGAAAACAGACACAGATGTAGATTTCTGTATTCTGCCACACTCTATTAATCTTTCAGTATTTACCAGTTAAATACATTCTTCATTCAGGTGGAAAGAATGTAGACAGTAATAATTTTTCCCTCCCTTTTTTCTTATTTTCTACCAGGTATCAGATGGAGGATGTGGCCAAAGCATGCTATGATTTCCTTACTAAGCATCTGGAGCCAGCTAATGTCATCGGCATCGCCCGCTTTGCTGAGGAGATTGGCTGCACAGAGCTGCACCAAAGAAGCCGAGAGTACATCAACACACACTTCAATGAGGTGAGATGCAAATAGAAAGCACAAGTACACATGCAATTGTCAGATTGCTCTTGTACAATGCTGCACCCATGTGGTGGCTTTTCTGGTCATCCATTGCATTAAATGTGAACACTGTAAGCATTGCCAATGTTAGGGATGTTTTTTGGGTAGATCAGTGTTGTTTCAGCATTGAATGGCTCCACTGCTCCAGTCAAAGACACGGAGAAGGCCACTTTGGGTCCGTCTCTGAAAAAGCACATGTGCCAACTCAGCCTGCAAAAGTTCTGCTGCTCAAATTTCTTTGTTTGTCGTTCCTTCAGCTCAAATGGGGGGATAGCTGTGCCCTCATGCAACTTTTTGACCCCTTAAGAAAAAAAAAGTTTGTTTATTCAAGAGTAAAATTACCATAGGTCATTTGCTAGTGACCAGCCTTTTCCTCCACCAGATCATTAATATTTTTGTTAGTGTGTAATTCCGTATTATCCTCTGCCTTCTTTTTGAACTGAAGTAACCCAGTCTTGGTTATATCCAGCTCTGCTGTTAGTTCTCCTGAGCTTGCACTTTGCATTCGCCTGCTGCCAGTCTGCTCTCCATCGGCCTCAGCTCCTCCAGCGTGAAGCTCGGTGCTCTCAGCTCAGGGCTGAGGTCAGACTGCGAGGCAGCTTCTGCCTGAACCAAAGCCCCTGACAGGCACAGGGTCAGCAGCAAAGCTGTACTGCTTTGTTAGGATAACTGCAGAACAGTGCAGCTGCGGTGTTTAATGGTTACCTAAAATCAAAGACCACTCATCTGTGTCAAGGACACACTTGGCCACAGTACCTATAGTTTATATTTACGTTTTGCCAGTACAATTCACATGTTCACTTTTTTGAAGTGATGGATGCTACCTTTGTAAGTCTCTATATCTGTGTCTCATCTATAATTTATGACTACAACACCTGCCTGCCTTTACTCAAATTAATCACTGTATCATACTTTAACCTGAAAAGGAAATAAAATCTGATAAAAGGATTAAGATGTGTATTCAGTAGTCAGTACACCTTCATCTGATCAAGCTCTTGTATCCTGTTGTGTCCCTCTGTCCCAGGTGACTAAAGAAGACGAGTTCTTCAGCCTCTCTCACTGCCAACTGCTGGAGCTCATCAGTCAGGACAGCCTGAAGGTCCTCTGTGAGTCTGAGGTGGGTGGCATTAAAATAACTAATTAAAACCTGACTAACAGGCATGTAACCTATGTGTTTTTTAAATTATTCTTGTATTGGGTGATTGTATTAGTGAAATGCAAGCACGATATGGGGTAAACAGTACGAACAGGGCTGTGTATTATAAGATGTTTCAGTTGTGCATGTCGGTTAGTTTAACCAACAGCTGGAACAGTGATTGTGACCTACATGAAGCACCAGATGGACAATGTTTTACCACAATCACACAGACAAACACTGGAAGTCACAGAAATGTATACTTAAAGTAACTGACGTTCTAATCATGAATTCTAATAGCACAACTGATAGTCCAAGTTCTGACAAGAGTGTATCTAGATGTAAATAACAACCCACATGTTCATACGTCTGATTACATCCATGTCAGGTGTATAAGGCCTGTACCGACTGGGTCGGCTGGGACATGGAGGGTAGAGCCCAGTACCTACATGCCCTCCTGAATGCAGTTCATATCTACGCTCTGCCTCCGAAGTTCCTTAAGAACCAGCTCCTGTCCTGCCCCATCCTCAGTAAGGTAAACCAGAGTTAGAGTATGTTTTCTTCTAATCCAAATGCAAAGAAAGGTGAGATTTGTTAGGAAAAAAAAAAAAAGAAAACCCATCTCAGTCACAAAGCCTTTACAGGTTTTTATTTTCTGTTTTTTATTTTACCTCCAGGCCAATTCCTGTAAGGACTTCCTTTCTAAAATCTTCCAGGATATGACACTAAGGAAGCTGCCTCCTGCACCGAACCGAGGAACTCAACTCATCTATGTGGCTGGCGGGTAGTTAACTTTTATAGTCTCCTCATCAGCACTGCTTTGCTCTACAATGGACAACAGTTTAGAAACCTATTCTTAGACACACTGCAGGCTCTAATAAACACTTTTGCACCCATCTGTGATATTGATTATCAGAAACTGATTATGAGACGATGCGTTGATGTCCACTTACAATACGCAACTTGTGTGCACTTTATTTTCTGAAACATTAGATGCGAAACACCCTCATGGATCCAGTAGGTGTCATAGTCTGCCACCCAGTGGCTGTTAGTATGTCATCCACTCTGTCATCTTTACAGGGGTGCTTTACCCTCTGGGTTCATGTATAAATCCTTCTTGTTTTTTTGTCCACCTATGCTTATAGTGGTATTCTGCATGTTGACCTATTTTTGTCTAACAAAATGAAAAAAGTGCCCCCACACTCCTGTCTTGTTCCCAGTTCTTCTTTAGTTCTACATGGACATGGCAACATTGCAACCACAAATGGTCTTCCTCAGACTTGTATTTGTCTGGCATAAATCACACCTGGTTTTTAAAGTGTAGGAACACTTGGACTGTGTCACTTGAGCTGATTTGAGCACTTTAACAGTCATGCTTGTTTTTTTTGTTTTTTTTGGATCTATTTTAAAAAAAAAAAGCACAATTAACTTCAACAGTTGGTCAGTAGTTAATAATTCTGTTGCAGGAGCACACATAAAGCAGAATGTGAAGTAAGTGACATCATGGAGATTCGATAATGGCTGATGTGTCCATATTTAGTCATTGGCCTTTTCTCCCTAACTCTGACTTTTTACAGAATGCATAACAAAGTAAGATATTATCTTATTTAAGTTGGACATTATATGTTATATACCCAGTAAAAACTGTTATATATACACTGACCATTCGTCTGATTAACTACTCTCTCTTTATTTCCCTTCCTCTGCTCAGATACCGGCAGCATTCACTAGCCTCCATGGAGGCTTATGATCCCAGGAGGAATGCCTGGCTAAAACTGGCTGACATGGGCTCTCCATGCAGCGGCCTGGGAGCCTGCGCCCTCTTTGGACTGCTCTACACTGTAGGTTGCACCAGTTATTTCATACCACCAATAGATGGGATACAATGCGATACACTACGCCACAATTATATATGATATGAGTGGGAAACACTGTACTGTCTCAGTTTTCTAATCCGTCTTTTCATGAATCCAGGTCGGGGGCAGGAACTTGTCGCTTCAAAACAACACGGAGTCCAGCGCCCTGTGCTGCTATAACCCAATGACCAACCAGTGGAGCCAGCGAGCCTCCCTCAACATCCCCAGGAACAGGGTCGGTGTGGGCGTGGTGGACGGCTGCATCTACGCCGTGGGAGGTTCTCAGGGCTCGACGCATCACAACACGGTGGAGAGGTTAGACGTCTCTGATGTGTTCACCGTGTGTGTGTGTGTTTGTTTGAGAGGATTTATTTGTTTAACAAGGCACTCGAGAAGTAATTTGATTTTAATGACATCTTATTTACTAGAAATGAATGTAATGAGCACGGATTTCCTTCCTCATACGCACGCATTCTGGGATTAAGTGCAGTTACCTCAGTGTAAATATGGATAATGGCATGAGGGAGATCAAATGAATAGCTGCCATTCAATCTGAAGAGCAGCAGAGAAGTTCTCAGGTATCCCTCTTAGCCTAATTAGACGACAACATGGGCTGTTTCAAAACATGTCGAGACACACTTCCCAGGAATGCCGATCGGGTCGGGAATGCTTTACAGCAGGGAGGAGTTCTAATGATGTTATGAATCAGTTTCAATCAATTACTAAAAACAAAACAAAACTTTAAAGTCTGAGAATTACTGTATCTTTTGATACTATTAGCTTTCTTTTCTGTATCTAAAGAACCATACTTCAAATGGAACCATAATACCTTTTTATATTGAAGGGTATAGATTTCTAAAAGATGCTAGTCACAAGAGAATTATTAAAACTCATCACACGCCACTTGGAAGGCTTCTCATGTGAAGCTGCAAAATATAATGAAAGCTGATAAAACTATTGAAATGAAAATTCAATGCGAAACACATCAAAGCAGATTAGAGTGTTCATGGTAACAGTAGTTGGCAGGAAAAGGCTCTGCTCTTGAGGACGCTTCCCAAATGGATCCAAGCAACAGGCAGAAGATTCAACAGGGAGTGATGCCTCCCCGCTAAAGCAAGTAAAGGGCCCTGTTGCAGATGCGTTATGCAATAACATCAGGGATCAGAGCACAGGGTTATTGCCAGCACAGTGACCCAAGAAATGACCTGCGTTTAGTGACTTTCTCAAGGGCACTTATCCAGTGTTTGAGGGCAGGTGATAAACACCGTCCTATCTGCAGTTTACAGCTGGAGTATACCCAGTGCCAACAGCTGAGCCAATAACCTTTTTAATCATTAACCAGCCAAGGAGCGTGCAGTCTGACCTGCCTCATCATGATCGATTTCGTTGTTGCTGTTGTTATACTTTGTGTTATTTGCCTCTACAGAGATTCGATTGTTAGAGGAAATGCCTCAAACTTCTTTTGTGATTTTGTGATGATTTAAGATAAAATGGATGTGACTCGACTTGACTTGAAAGGAATAGTCGGACATTTTGGGAAATATGCTTATATGCTTTCATGCTTGGGGTTAGAGGAGATGATCCATTCAACTCTCATATCTGTAAATTAAATATGACGCTAGAGCCATGCGGTGGCTAACTTAGCTTAGTAAAAACACTGGAAGGCAAAACAGTTAGCCTAGCTCTGTCCAAAAACCCCCATGAATTAATGCATTATATTTTGTTTGTTTAATCCATATGACAAAAGAAACCTCAGCAAGAGAGTGAATATACTTATTTGGAAAAAATTACCAGCTGTACCTTTTAAAAAGATATGCTAAACAAGACATTTATGTTATAATATGATGAGATTTTTCTCAAAAACACCATGGCCACAGATTGGAAACTTGATGTGTGTTGGACTACAGAGTCCTGTAGACTCTCATGCTCATGGTGGTGTTACAGCCTCTTTGGCTTCAGATGAAGCTCGTCAATAGTTGCCAAACACGGTTGCCAGCTTAACCTAATCCACTTAAAATTGACTGGCTCGTGTAGATTGAGAAGGTTGCTGCTCAAAGCTGCTCCCCTCTGAAACATCAAAAGTTTTGCAGCGCTGACACTTGTTTTAATTCATTGTTTTAATTGACTAATATGTAATGTCATCACTACAAACTCTGTACAACCACTGTTTGATTTGCAGGTGGGACCCAGAGTCGAATCGCTGGTCGTTTGTTTGCCCGATGTCGGTGGCTCGTCTAGGGGCCGGTGTGGCGGCGTGTGGGGGGGCTCTGTACGTGGTGGGGGGATATGATGGACAGAACCGATGGAACACTGCTGAGAAATACCAGCCTGACACTAACACCTGGCACCAGCTGGCTCCCATGAGCACTATACGCAGCGGACTGGGTGAGTGTGTGTGTGTGTGTGTGTGTGTGTGTGTGTGTGTGTGTGTGTGTGTGTGTGTGTGTGTGTGTGTGTGTGTGTGTGTTTTAGTAGTGTCACTTAATATATTGGTGTGTATTTGTGTTTGTTCTGGCCTTTAAAGGAGTTGTTTGACATCTTGGAAAATACTTATTCACTTTCTTGCTCAATGAGAAGATTGATACCACTTTACATTCAAATGTAGGCCATTGCCAGCTACTAATTAGCTTAGCTTAGCATAAATACTGGAAATGGGGGAGACGGGTAGTCTTTCACTGTCCAAAGATAAAAAATCAGCACCTCTAAAGTTCACAAATTACTTCTTCACTGAGCCCGGACAAGAAAATAGTCCCCCTGCAAAACCACAACTTGTTGTTTTAACTCGTCTGATTTTGTATAGATTCAACCAATGAGATCTGTTAACTGATGAGCTTTGAGGTGCTGGTAGGCAGATCATGTTACCTTTGGTCAGAGCCAAGCTAGCTGTCTCCCCATTTTCAGTTTTATGCTAAGCTATGCTACCCGGCACCTGGTTCCAGCTACATAATTACTGTACAGACATACAAGTGTGATCTTTTCATCTAGCCCTCAGCATGAAAGAAAATGAGCCTATTTCTCAAAATGCCAAACTGTTCATTTGTGTTCTCTCTCTGTCTGCTTTTGCAGGGTTGGTGTGTGTGAACTCGTACCTGTACGCTGTAGGAGGGTATGATGGGAGGAGCCAGCTGTCGTCTGTGGAGCGTTACAACATAGCCAGGAATGTTTGGGAGCCCAGGGCCTCCATGCAATTCTGTCGCAGTGCACACGGAGTGACGGTCCACCAGAGACGCATCTTTGTCCTCGGTCAGTTACTAAAGACTGAATGTTCAAAGTAATTAAATGAAAGAAAGATATGGTCACGGATCTTTTCTTAACATTAATAAGAGCATATCCTGCTATTTTGAATATTTTTCTTCTCATTAGATTTTACTTTATTAATTTTTATTTTTTCACTTTTATGTAATTTTATCTTTTTTCCCTAATTGTGTCTTGGATGATGCTTGTATTGACCCTTGTATTGATTCCTATTGCTCGTCCAAAGTCAAGCCTGTGATATGTGCCACCACTAATTAGTACCTGAATAGTTTCATGTAATTAGGCCCATTGTAGCTTATCATGAGCCTGATGAAGCGCTGAGTGAAACATGTTGCTGTTGTCAGTGTTAATAAAAATGTCTGTGATAATTTATTTTATCTGCACACTCAGCCCAATATATATATTATATATATATATATATATTATATATTATTATCACAGACATTATATTATATACATATATATATACTGTATATATATATTATATATATTATTATCACAGACATTATATTATATATATATATACACACACAGACATTTTTATGAGTTTTATTTTGTATCAGCTGTTAATATCAAGTGACTTGCAGTTCTATTGCAAGTGACCCAGAGAAAAAAGAAATACTTGAAAGACTTGAATAATTCTGATTCATTAGTAGACAGTCAGGTCAGGAGGCGACCAGTGAGATCCTCTGTTAATACAGTGTGGGCTGCTCTGTTTTATTTCTAATGTGGCTCAGTGACTCAGTGTTGTTGTTAATTAAATAGGGGAAAGTGTGGTTCAACTGTTAAGAGTAAACAGACATGCAGCAGGCAAATGAAATGTCAGATCAGGAAGTAATAACAAACCATATCACTAAATTAAATTAATGGAAAATCAAAAAGTAAAAATTGCCTTTTTAAAAGATCATTTGATGAATCCATCTATGAGCTGAAAAATAAATAGCAAAATAATTGAATTTAATTATTCATTGACACAACTGTTGAACAGTCCCTAATTGCTTCATCAACAGCTTCATTAAACACGTGTGTGTTTCCATTCAGGGGGTTTTAACCAGCACGGCTTCCTGTCCAGCGTCGAGTGTTACTGTCCAGAAAGAAATGAATGGACGTGTGTGACCGAGATGCCCGTTGGACGCAGCGGCATGGGCGTCGCTGTTACCATGGAGCCCTGTCCTGGCAGCCTGCCAGAACCAGAGGAGGACGAGGATGGAGCCACATAGGATGAGGATGAAATCTGCTGAAAGTGTCAAGTGTTGAATACGGTGGTGTCGAAGTGGTGCTGCTTTTCAAGAGAGGGTTAAGTGCATTAATTAAAAAAACATTCCAATATGAAAACTCCTCATATAGCCCCGCCCTCATGGGTCCTACTTGTATTGCACCGTGGGGTACTGCTGGTAGGATTTGAATGGAGGAGGAGGAACTATATCTCTACATCTGCTGGGGAACAAGTGAAACAGAGAAACTGGTAGCATGACAGTGACCCCGCAATAATAAGGTGCTACGGATGTAATCTCAAATAATAGTTCTATTTAATTGAATATTGTTATTCATTCACTGTTTTTAATCTCTTTAGTGTTCAAATTTATAAATTGGCCTTCAGTGTCTAATTTCTAATTCCTCGCTTTGTTTTATTTACATCTCTACCTCCGTCTGTGTCTCTGTCTGAATGAGCACTTTTCTTATTTTTCTTCATTTTTGTGCCAATGAGGTTTCACCCAAAACTGCCATTTTAAAACTTTTTATTGATTTTTTTTTTTTTTTCATTCACTTTATTTTATTTTTTGTTTCTGAAAATGAAGTTAATCAAATGTGTGAATGATGAATATCTCACGTCTGCAACATTTGTTCAGAAATGTAATTCACATTCTCTCATATGCACTGATGTTAGTAAAGACAAATGTGTTTTACTGACCTCTTGTGATCTCAGTTATTAGGATGCATCCACACAGTGTGCAGCTGTAGTGTTGTGACAGCACGTGCACTACCACTAGATGGTGGAATAAGTCCAAAAACAGCTGCACATGGCAACAAGATAGGTTTTGCCTGTTTTTTTTTTTTTGTTTTTTTTTTTGGGGGGGGGGGGGTTATTTTTTGCTTTGCCATGTCAAAGAACTCCCATGTCAGTGACATCTTAAAAATAACAAAGCAGAAGAGTAAGGGCTCTACATCTGTTTACATCTTGACAAACCATGACACGTTCCCAAATGAATCTAAATCTGGATTGTGCACACTAGGCGCAGTGATATCCTGTTTGGATAAAGAATATTTGTCCATGTTTTATGGCTCAGTGAGAATGATTAGAGCTCACCAGCAGAGCTCTCACAGCAACCTTTATTTCAGCGGTTCTGAAGACAGACAGAGGGTACTGGAGTCACTACAGCGTTAGTCATCAACCGCAGACGTCACTTGTGTGTTTACTTATCTCTCTCTGCACTGCTGTTCTCTATCTCCTCCAAGGCTCACCTGCAATTATCCCAGCAGGCCTCCAAAGAAGACAGTTCTGGACGGAGCTATTATTCAAATACAGCCTCGGTCGTCTCATCATGTCGAGATTTCTGACAGAGAAGAGACACCAACAAAGGAAAAGGAAAAAAAATGCTTGTGTTTGTTTTATCGTTCTTCTGGAATAATAGGGAAAGCAGGTGATTGTGGCCACATGTTTGTCTCCCTTTTGAGTCTATCTCCGATTTCAAACTCATGGACATGCAGCGCATTGTGAGCATTCATTATTGACAAAGCAACCTGTTGGATGGAGCAAAAGGCAGAGGAGGAAGCTCTAGTTGTGTGTTTGGGGCCCCAGAGAGTGAGAGCGGAGACGGGCGAGGGAGTAGAGGGCTCTTACTCACTACTTAAAGCGCTACACAAGAGCAAGTGACTCACATGGCGGACGCATGACGCAGGCATCTCGCTCACATTTGCACATGGATACACAAATACGTGTGTGCCCGTACACACAAACACATTTGTTCACACACATACACACACACACGCATATGTGTGTGTATGCACACTCGTGCAAAACAAAGCTGGCTGTCTCTTATTCACAGGCTGTGGAAACAGATTTGTCTCAATGTGTTCATTGTCTCATGAGGGGAGAGGAATACAGAAAGAGATGTAGCACTGTACGACAGGGAGATCTGCCTTCCGTGGAGATTCAGAGGAGGAAAATTAGTACACATACAGACGTAGCTATTGTACATCTTTTGCACACTTGCTGCACTAATGCGTAACTGTTGCACAACCTCGAGAGGAACTGTTGGAGGAGATCTTCTTCCTCTGATAGAGCAGAGAAGATGCCTGGTTTGAAAGCAGCTGCTGCCATCTATAAAAGCTGTAATGACAATTTCTTCTTCATTCTTGGTTGGTCCGCAAACTAAAAATAATAGCTGGTAAAAAGTGACTTTGGTGCATAGTGCTGTACAGTTACACAAACAGATGGGCGAGGACAAAAACTGGGCCTGGGACCTGAGAGTGCAGTGAAAGCTCAGCATGTGTTGTTCTTGCATACTTTATGTCTTGAAGTTTTGATCACAGTTTATGTCCAGCTGGTCATATGCAAATGTATGTACATGGAAAAGTGTTGATCTAATCATCAGTCATTGCTTAACGTTGCTCGCAACTATGCAGCATGTTGAAATGTGTGTGTAGGTATACAAAGTCTTGGAAATACTGGAAGTAATGTACAGTATGTTGTAACAGGGAGCTATTCGGTCTTTTTCAAGTCTGTTCACAGGTTGAAGGGAGCCTGAAGGGGCCCAAGCAGCCTGTACAGTCACTGCGTATTACAATAAGGCTTATCCTGTTGGATATGGCTTATTCGGCCTTATTTAGATCTGCACGCAGGCGGGAGGTAGAACTGAGCCTCTATAGCATCTGAAGAGGTGGGGGGCTTTAATGCGAGTGGGCCTACAGCTAGATGTGTGTAGGTGTGACCTTGGGAAGTGATGACCTCATCAACATCCCTGCCTGCAAAGCTAATCTGTTACATTCTGAAGGATGCTCCTACGATGGAGCCACCCATGAAGGTGACATTGGTGAGTGGGCTGGTGGCGTGGAAACACACCCCTCAGCGAGGCACGCGCAAACCCATTCAAATGAGGATTACATGCACGCAGATGCATGTGGGTACTGTACACGCATGCAAATACTGTGGCCACATAAGTCATTTGACATAGACACAAAGATGCATTGCACTGTCATGATGAAACCACTGTGGCCCAGATGCCTGCAGCAGGTGTTGCAGTATGACGGCTGTTGAAAGGTCAGACTGTGTTCTCTAATCTGACCCCAAATATTGCAGATTTTCTGCTCTGTGGCCAACACACAACTCAGCCCACTTTTTTTTTACCTTTATTTTTCCAGGAAATGTTGGATTAAACAACATTGTAATTCATATACAATAGTTTTACTCATATCCGGGAAATACCGTGCTGCAGTACTTTGGTTGAAAGGACCTTGGTTGAAGCAGTTGTGACTTAAACACCTTACCCAAGAGTTTTTTCAACCTCAGAGCTACTGATACCAACATGAGTGAGAGCATCAGCCAATAGCTGCTGTTGTGCCTGTTTGTGCCTATCCTGGCCCTCCTCTCCATCAACAGATGCCCTTGAGCAAGGCATGTCTAGCTAATGCAGTGGAACTGCTCAGTGAAGAGCAACAGAAGACAGACTGGTGAAGCTGTTATAAATGCTTTTGAGCAAAATGAGTGGGATATATATGAGCATATGAGCCTATGTATTGCTGCTGAGTTTTGTAAGCAGTTTTTAAAAGACTGGCATTGGCTGAGTTTCTTCCTCTAAATCTCTCACACCATTGATCCATAAATTTAGTTCTGTTTTGTTACGCATGTTTATATAATGATTTAAAATGTAATATATGTATCCTTAAAATATGAGACCTTTCTGGCCCTGGCTGAAGCAAATCCATGCACGCAGGCATGCACGCGCGCGCATACATGCGCGCGGAACTACTGTAGCTCACTGATCCTGAGCATCATATTAAGACTCGCTTCACCCGATTAAGTGACGTGCATTCAAAACATCTGCAAGAGGCAAAATAGTATAGGGAATCCACCAGTAACACCTCATGAAAACTGAAATTATTCAAAGCCGATATATATACAGTATATACCATGCAGAATTTCACATTAGGGAATGTTTGTTGACAGAACACACGCATTAACTGATTTTAAAATTTGATTTTAACAGGATTATTCTTCCTTAAGGGGTTTACATTGTGTATGTGGCACTCTAGAATGAGTTCATACAGTGACCTTATAGTTTTAAAGATGATCTAGTATCCATATGAAATTCCTGTAGCATTCCCACAGTGACATATAGTTTTTCTGAGATCTTTGCATAGTATTTAGTAGCGTATTATTGTAATTATATGTTGAGAGGCTGCTGTTGTTTTTCGTTAGTGATGGGAGCCTGCCTGTTGTGAGCATGTAGTGCGGCCGACTGGTCTGTGTGTTCACTTCAACTGTGTTTCTCTCAGACTCGGAGGAAAGCATGAGTGGACGGTTTCAAGCTCCCCTCTCGCTGAATTGATTCTACTATGGGTCCTCTAGAAACACGGCTCTGAAACACAGGGGAGATTCACTTTAAACTATTCCTTATTTATACCTTTTTCGAACCTCTTAACGAGTCACATTTTACGAATTCAAGTTTACAATGTTCTGACGTGATATGTGATACCACTAAAATGAACACACTTGCTAGTGACACCTGCTTTCCTGTAAATGCACGTTTCCAGCTCCCCCCTGTACCCAAAGATAGTATATTCCACAATTTATTCCAGGGAAAGACTGACAGTTTTTTGGGTCATGAAGCAGCTGTTCAAGTCAGTGGTTCACCCTCCCTCCGCAAGAATAAGGAATTAGTACATTTCAAATTAGATAACGACAAATGTTGGTGCAAGAAGAGAAAAAGTATGACAATGTGTCCGCCGCACAAAATAAACCATTTAAACATGAGCAAAAATATTTTTTTATTCCTTAACAAAAACATTTTTTAATCACAGCTGATTTTCAACACATTAATATGAACAATGTTTGTGTGTTGTTTATATTTTGCAGTTGTATTAGTGCAGCAGAGTGAATAAGTGGAGCAAATTCCTTTTCAAATTCTTGTGATATTAAAGGTTGAGAACTTAGATGTCTCACACAAAGACACATGCGCACGCACACGCATGCACACACACTCACACACACACACACACACACACACACACACACACACACACACATACTGTAACAGACCTAGAGCAGAAAGTGGAGTTGAACAATGGTGGAATGACTGTTGACCCCTCTTCAATAAATCCAGTCAACGTTAGGTTGTGCCTTGGCAATCCATCAGCCTTCTATAGAGGTTTAAATTAGAGTTTTCATTCTGGCCCTGGTATAGAGTGGACCAATCGGACTTGGCTTCTCAACATAGTTATTATAATTTTCATGATCAATACATCTCACACCGCCAGAATGCCTTTTAAACTTGTGCATACTATATTGTGTGGAATGCATGAATCCATTTGTGCATTCATCTTAATATTGTATGTGTGAAAAAAACACTGCGTGTTTATGATGAGTGACTGAATTTGTGCGTGTGTGTGTGTGTGTCTGTGTGTGACTGCGTGCACATGCAACATGGGTCAAGCCCCTTGGAAACAGCAGCAGAGGTCCTCTGCTTTTAAGTGGATTAAAACTCCAGCACAATCCCCAGGGCCAGCAGGCATTGGACAGACTGGGTGTAGTTTAGATGAGGACTTAAGACTGATTATCTCTCATGCTGCCTTTGTTTTTGCTGCTACTGTTGCGTATATATGAGTAATACTGTACTGTATATGGAAATGGAAATATATCGGCTGTACATATTAGTAGTGAGGCAGGTATTAGCTATTCAGACTTCAAATCG